CCCGACGCGGGCGAGAGGTCGCCCTCGCCCGAGTCGGGCGTGGGCGACCGCCCGACGCCGGCGAGGGTCGCCCTCGCCCGACGCGGCGAGGGTCGCTCGCTAGCCCTTCCCGGGCTTCGCCGGTGGCTGGCCGGCCACCGGCGACCGGCCGGCGAGGGGAGAAAAGAAAAAGGAAAGAAGAAAAAAAAAAGGAAAAAAATATTTAAAATTAAAAATGCTGAAAAAAATTATTTAAAAAGAAATCTTGATCGTATACTGACTACCCTCCCGGCGAGCCACGTCGGCGTCAAAAATTAATAAAAAGATGCCACGTCGGATTTCCGGCAAATTGGCACTAAAGTGATCTCTTTTGCTCCGACTTGGCACCAAAGTGATCGCCGTACACAAGTTATAGCACTTGTAGTGTACTTTTGCCGTTAGATTTCCATCTCCCAATTCAACGTCACCAACAGTACAAGTATCCTCAGCCATAATATCATCATTACAATTAGGAAGGGCAACATATAGTGTTCCTGGCAAGCCCGTTTCATTTCCTGTTGTAGCCCCTAGATTGGCGGCCTCTATCTCTGAACTGAAGAGATTATTCTTTATTTCGGTGGATAAAGTTTTGAGTTCTATTTTGTTCGATGATGAGGCTCTCCCAGTACCTCCTCTACCACATCGCGTTCTAACCACCATTTTCGAAACTTTTCCTGGCAATACGTAACGTTGTCTCCGGCTAGAAGGGGTTGGTCGATGCACTCAATGACTTGGACCATGAGCGTCAACAAACCATGAGCAGCCAAGCAGGGACATGACCACAATGGTAGCGGCAAGAGCGGTGGGGGTTAGGACAAGGTGTGCTCGGTGTAAAGCGATAGGGGCGATGAAGAGAGGGCCAGCAACGAATGAGAGTGGTTGGGAGTGAGGGATTAAGCAGCAAATGTCTATAGAGGGGCTAGAAGAGGAGCGAGCAGCAAAGGGAGATACGGTCACAAATTGACCTTCTCTTAGGAAATATATCAAACACCTTAGATGCGAATATTATGGAGAGGAAACCGCAAGGTAAGTAGGGGGGACGAAGCCTATAAGCCAAGCAGAGACATAACCCCAGTGAATGGATGCACGATGCAATGAGCAGCGCTCCAATTTGAGCAAGACCGTACAAATCGGAAGGAAAGCAGAACACACACGGTGAAGGACTGAGCAGAGGGGGATAGTGCAACAGCTCCTAAGGGCTGGGCAGAGGCGTGGGTGAAGAAGGCTAGGTAGCAACGAAGGGGCTCTAAACAAGCACGGGCAAATGGACTCGAAAGTAAAGCAGAATTGAGGCGAGCGTGAAGGACGGGAGAGAGATGCTGAGGTGAGCGAGAGTGACGAGTGAGAAAGAGGGAGCGGGACCGGAAGAAGTGACGGAGGGTAAGGGCAAGGGCTAACAGCGGGTAGAGGGAAAGCCGGACGATGGGCGGAAGCCGGACGGAGGGCGGCGGGCAATGGGCGGAGGCATTCACAAGGTGGCGCTCACATGGTGGGGCTTACTTCCTTAGGCAAGAGATATGTTTGCTCACAACCATTTAGTTACAACTATTAACCCTCTGTTCTTTAACTGTTAACATGTGTAATGCACAAGATTTTTAAGGGGTAAAGAACTGTTTTTTATCTCAACTTTTTTCTAGATAATCACTTTCTTACCCTCAATTTTTGTAAAAAATGGAAAGTAATATAGAAAATGGAAGTACTAAATAAGATATGTTAAGAAAAAGAATAAACACAAACTAAAAAATAATAGAAAAAAATTGCCAATAATAATATTAATGATAATTTTTTTAAAATTTGATAAATATAGCCGCTTTAATAAAACTAAATAAGATATGTTAAAAAAAAAGAATAAACACGAACTAAAAAAATGGAAAATGCATCATTAATAAAAAGGCCAACTGACTAAAATTAGTTACTAATTATGTATATTTAAAGGGTTCATGAATGTGAATAATGATTGATCAATAATATAACTTTTAGAAACTTATAAAAGGAAATGATTAATCAAAATCAAGGTGATTTCTTTAATTACCTTCTAATTTTTTCCATTATTTAACCATTTAAAATTGCATAATGAGTATCCAAATTTTTTTATTTGAACTTATCGAAATTGAAGCCTTCTCCTTTTTACTTAATCGTGTCTCTTGTCTTTAAAATATCTTATTTTTATGATATTAATAATTTAGTTTATTTATTTTTATCCATTTCCTTTATCTTTTCTTATTTTTAGAGAAATCGAGGGAAAAGAGCGTTCTTTTAGAAAATGAGATAAAATACAAATTTAATGTGCAATGTACATGCTAATTAAAACTATAACGGAGGATTAACGACCATTAGAAAATCAAAGTTCAAGAGGGTAATATTTAACAGTTGAAAGTTCAAAGGCAACTGTGTACCATCCCTTGGGAGAGTTCTGGGTAATTTCCTCAAATAGTTATTTGGTTTTGGTCACTTAGATCTGCGTCTAGAAAAGAACATCATTTAGAAGCTTTATTGGTCTTTTCCCTTTAATTTTGGGCAAATCCTGCATTATCGTGGGCTCTTTTATGGATATTCGTAAGTGGGTCATCTCCACCATTCATTTTCAAGGAATCCATAAGCACTGTTGTTTCAAGCAAGTGTTCTTCAACTCTCAATCTGCTGCGCAAGTTTTTGAGTAAGATTCTTAACAAATGGCAAGGTTAGTAGAAGCGAACTATATGAAAGTTACGTCGAGAAATTACTAAACATTAGGAAATTTACTAGTAACTACAAATTAGTTACTCGGTACAATAATTATATTGTCGAGAAATTAATACCCGCCATAGACATTACACGGTTCTCCAACCAAATCAAACCACAACACCAACATGGCTTTGTTTCTCTCAGAAAAGCTAAATATCTTTCAAAAAGAGGATGGGTTGAATTAAATCGACAAAGATTGTGAAATGGTCCTTTATTAATTTTGGACATGAAAGTAAATGGCAGGGCAAGTACTGAAAACGAAAGATTGCAAGAAAAGTAAATTTGTGAGGATATTAATGATAGACTGTTGTCATTGATTGCATGAATGATTATTACAAATATTACAACGTAGGTTTTATATATCCCACTAAGAGCAATTATTACATATGGTTATGGATTTTGAATCCATAATTAACTTCTTAACTCGTTTGGCAATTATAAGAAGTTGCAAATACTAGACACAATCCCCTCTTGTCTAATAATAATAATCTACTAAGAGTTACAAATCCTGAGAATATTGGCATCACCTCCCAGCAATTATGTGCTTGCGTCGATTCACTATCTGTCTTCGACTGATGTGTCGCCAGCCTTCTGTTCTATTTAATTATTGCACTACCTCAACACTTAACCAAAATCTAAGATCCCTTGTTGTCAATGACTTTGTCAATCAATTTCTTTGAAATCTTAATTAAGACTTCTGTCGATAACTCTCGCAATGTGTTCTGCCAATTTCCTTCACTATCAACAAGCTTGTAGTTCTTCGACAAAAAAAAAAAGCTTGTATTTGGTTGATTATCTTGTTCATTGATGACTTATGTTTTGACCAGATTTTATTCTTATCGACCAAACTTACTACTCCTTGGTAAAAAGAGTTGATCATTTTTTTGGTATCAACAAGTTGAAAGCAACTATTTTCGGTACATACTTGTCATGTTGTAATAACAACTTATGATTAGTGTTGGCTAGGTCCAGCTCTTATAGACCGAACTCACTACTTTTTTTTTTTTTTGATAATCCGGACTCCCGCACCGGCCGTACTACAAGGGTCCGACCGGCCAGGCACCAACCGGAGAAGAGCTAATCTGGCCCTACAAACTAACCTCCATGTAAGTCAAGAGTATGATAAGGCTGCGCGGCAGAGGGGACTCGAACTTGGGACATGGGACCCCAAGTCCTACACCCTTACCAACGTAGCCAACCTCTTGGAGGCACCGAACTCACTACTCGTTGGTAAAAAGAGTTGATTATTTTTTAGGTATCAACAAGTTGAAAGCAACTATTTTCGGTATATACTTGTCATGTTGTAATAACAATTAATGATTAGTGTTGGCTAGGTCCACCTCTATGTGGGGCCCAGCCAGCATATAACAAGAAAAATAGGAGTAGAAGTCAAAAAAGTAAACAAAAGAAATCAAGTCCTTCGTGCGTGCGTCAAATGTGCCCAAAAAGAAGAGAGAGAAAACCAGAGTGAGTGTGCTCCCCGAGAGTACCGAGAGAACAGGTGAGAGAAAGAAGAAAAAAGGGTTGCAACTTTACGGTCTCGATTCGAAGGCCAAACTTTATCGGAATTGGCTCAAATTTTAATATATTGTTCATGAGATCAAGGGCTATGCGTTGATCGGTTTCGTTCATTGAGAACCTCTTCTGAATTCTCCAATCGTGATTAGGATTTTTTTTATTTATTTATGTAAACCCACCTTTGTAGTAATAAAAATGATGTTGTATTGTTGATGTTGTGCCTCTAGTGTGTAACTAGATAAGAACTTTGTATATCGTATTATTCTTGGTGACTAGTAGAAGTTTTTGGGCAGTCCGTGGTTTTTTCCTCATTAGGTTTCCACGTTAAACCTTCGTGTTGTTTGTTGCATTTGTCTTCTTATAATTACAAGGTTGTGTTGTTGGAATATTGTTGGTTGTTGCCGAGGTTAAGTCAATTTCGGTCGGTTTAAATGTAGAAGAGATATTGATCCTATATTGGGTTTGGTTCTTGGTAAATTGTTGCACAGTTCTCTCCGACAATTAGCACATACACACTCAGACTATTACTAAAAGAGAGAGGCATAAATCTGTGAGATACTCCTTCACTCTAAGAGTGGATTTTGCCTAAGTGCATTGTACTATGTAGTCGACCAAGCTAATCCGCAACTCAAATAAAAGTATAAGGATTGGGTCTTCAAGTATACATGTGATCAATCTGGCCAAAAAACAGAAAATTGGTAATGCGAAAGTTAAAATCAAGAATAGTTTCACTATGAAAGGAAAACACGTTTCTTTATTTCGTTTACTTGGAATCAGTCACAAATTTATTCCAAACCCGAAATAAGTTATTGTTTTCTAACAGCCCAATGTAACTTCAACAGAGACAGATAATCATACCATGAACTTAATTGAAAAGGAAAATAGAAAAAAGAAAAGAAAACAGTAACTTCGGTTACATAACAAGCATTGGCACTGCCTCTTCCTTGGCTTATCGGGGCCAATCAGCCGTGCCACTTCCAGGGGCGAGGAAGCGACACCACAGAGAACCGCATCTTCCCGGTGGAGCAGTGGAGGCCGCTCTCACCGCATGCAAAGAAGTAAAACTTCCACTTCTGGCTCAAGGTGAACTCGAAGCCATCTCCCGCCCCGTCCGACACATTGGCCACCATGGTCGCCCTCTTGAGGTCACACCTCATGTAGCTCCAGAAGGTCTGGAACACGTAGACGCTGTGTGGATGCGTGTTTTTGTCGCTCGGTGGGTCGTACTTGAACACTGCAAGTACCAAAATTAATGTTGTTTGGAATAATATTTTACAACAAATGATTCGGAGATACTCGTTAAGCATGCTTAACGAGGAAACATTCATTTTTCAAAGTATTGATCGTATATACACTAATGTAGCCAGTTATAAATAGTGCCACGGACCACTTTTCTACAAAACCCATAATGCTACTTAGACTACTCATTTTTTATTTGGGAAGGACCAATAAGGCGATTCTGCTTCTTAATTATCTTCAAAAGGCATTTTTTACTAAGTAATTATCTTCGAAAAACATTAGCACTCTACTTCTACTTGTTATGCATAAGATTGCATTATACAAGAGTCTCGTCATGAGTGAATGTCTAGACAATAAAGTCGTGTGAGGACGAATTCGTATCGATTCTAATACCGTGAAAATCATCGATCAATCTCCCATATCAACTGTTAAAATGAAAATAAGAACAAATTTACACGGACAGAAATGGGGCATAATAGATGCTGAACCTAGATATGAATAATTGAGCTATAGTAGCACTTACCGAGGGTGTCGTTGACGTAAAAGGGGCCGTTTTTGTGAGCCCAGGCGCTGTAATCGAATCCGAAATGCCAATTCTCGGACCCTCCGACGACAACCTTCTTCGGAGGCACCTCAGTGGGACCGTCGTATTGCTTCGGAGGCCAAGCATAGCCATTATTGTTGTTCCAACCTGGATAGGCCACTGAAGCTCCGATCGTCACTGAAGCTATCACGACAAGTACCATCGCTCCTCCGAATTTCATGGCCATTTTATTATTTTTTTCCAATTTGGAGGGTGATGAAGGAACTGGACAAGTACAGATCTTCAGATGTTGGGGAACTGGTTGGTGCATTCGAGGAATGTCTGCTGGGCTTTTTATAGGAGGAACTTCGTTGAAATTTTATGTTTGATGTTTCTAATGAAAGGTGGTAGTGGAAAACGGCCAAATGGACCTCTTTTTCTTCTTCAACAGATGGGGTTGGTGTGCGACGGAGAGTTAATGTGTTTTCACTGTTAAGAGTCAACTCCTCCGTTTCTGGTTTTTGAGCAGGTCTCTCCAGGAAAGACCAGCGCACAGCAACGGTACATGTAATGAATATGTCACCAGAGCTCATCTTATCGTATCACAACCGTAACGTGAGTATGAATACATGATTCCTTGGAGAAAGTGGACAACGAGTATGACGACGTCGACGAACTATGCAAACACTCAGCCAAACAGATCCATATTGACCTCCGCAAGCAATATGGATTTCATCCCTGCCGATAGGCGACTTTTGAATTCGATTCCGTGGTTCTATGAGTCGAGTAGTCTTTTAGATTTGGTGTTGTAGGCTTTGTGTATATTTCTCTGTCCCTGTCTCTTAACTACAAGCTTTGTCTCACTGATTCGCTAGACTCTATATAGAGTGAACCAGCTATTGAACAAATCCATCTCGCTTGTCTTTAAAGTTTTTTAAGCATCGTATACCTAAATGTGCATATTTTTATGCTGTACACTTATGAATGTGATGTACACTTACGCTCAATATCGAACTAACAACCTAAGAGGGGATTTGGAAAGGAGAAAAACAGGTCAATAACCCTATGGTTGTTGGCTTAGTGGTTATAATACAAACTGTTGAGCATGTTTTGTACAGCTTTCTCGTAGCAATTACAGCTTCCAAAAGAAATTTTGCAGCTTGTATAAGATGTTTGACAAATTTCTCACTGCTGCAACGCTCTTAATTAGCTTTTAGGAAGCAATCTCAATCAGTTTTAAGGTGTAGCAACTTTAAAACTTGTAATACCAAAGGAAAATGACACAAATGGTCCCTAAACTTTTGCATAATGTGCAATGTGGTCCCTGAACTTTTAATTTGTTTAATGTGGTCCCTGAACTTTAGCCTAATGTGCAATGTCATATCCAAACTTTTAAATTGTTTAATGTGGTCCCTGAACTTTTGATGCATGTTTAATTTAGTCCATGAACTATATGAAAATATTTCATATTATCCATGAACTTGAATTAATGTAAGGACAACGTTAAACATTTTCATATAGTTCATGGACCATATTGAATAAATTAAAAATTTGGGGATTACATTTCACATTGGGCCAAAGGTTATGGACTATTTGTGTCATTATCCCTATTACCAAATACACTTGTTACAATACTTCATAGCATAGCAACAACGCGGCTACAGTTACAACACATCACTGCTATACCATTTAAACACTTTGTTTGTGGATTATTTACCCAATATTGGTCCAATAACCATAAGATTAAATGAAAACAATCACATAGTTTGGCCAACTACCAAATTTTGATTGGTCTCTTACTTAGATTATGAGGTTAGTGGAGTTCTTCATAGATGGGAGTCTAACTATGTACTTAAGGTGCTTCCTCATTAGATGTCGTTGCATCCTCTCGTTGTTGCGCCACTCTAACACACACACACTCTCTCTCTCTCAACGAAGACATAGGAGACCAAAATGGTCACCTCCTTGCGACCACCTCAAACGGAGACCCAACCTTGCTCAACGCCAAATTCCGGGTTGACTCGACACATTACACCTAATGTTGCGAGCCTAAGTCGAGAGAGAGAGAGAGGGGCCAGGGACACGGATTGCAGTTCGAGCGGCGAAGTGTCAAGGGTGGCTGTACTCAGGTAGACAAGCAAAGCAGAGAAAAAGGGAAAAAAGGCGGAAATGAGGGCAGCGAAAAAAAAAAAAAGATCTAGATCGTCCAACATACATAGTAAGAATGTGTAAACTCCTAAAGGATAAACAATACATTAATAATGGTAATATGCGATTATTTTCTAAATTTAGAGAATCTCAATCCTAATTTGTATAGCAAATGGTTCTCCTCGTTGTACGATCAAATAAAGAAGTAGGTACAACACAAGAAAGATCTTCATTAGTTAGGCTACCAAGTACTGTGCTCACCATTTCAAATTCCCCGACCCGCAACATAAGTCAAACTTGTGTCGGTCTCAGACAGAATTTTCTAATCAAGATTAAGTCAGCAAAAACGGAATGCTGGCCTTTTACCAATTAACCATCCCCATCATTGCCACTCGACCTAATCAATCGGGCCCGTTTTGACTTGGTCCATGTAGAAGAAAATTTCTCGGGGAAGAACCCTCAATGACATCTAGAGAAATTGTTCAATAAGTTATAAACCTATTACACGCATGTCAATTCAGTCCTAAACTTTTTAATTTTACCAATTTAGTCTTAAACATTTGCACAAAATTCTAATTTAGTACTTCTGGTCAGTTCTCGCCGTAAATCGCTGACATATCGATGTTCCGTGTAGAATCACCGGCAACGACTGGATGACCATGTCAGCGATTTCCGACGAGAACTGATTAGAAGGACTACATTGAAATTTCACGCATATATTTAGGACTAAATTGGTAAAATTGAAAAGTCTAGAACAGAATTGACGTCCGTACAATAAGTTTATAATTGATTGGGTAATTTTCCCACATCCTATGCATTTAATACTCAATGGAACTTATGCAAATGTTTAACTATATAAATATTTTTTCCATTAAATATGCCTATAGTGTTTAAACTTAGTCCTTAAACCTTATAAAAGAACTTTGTTCTTGAACAATTTTTTTTTGGACGTTTATGTGGTTCTTAAACTTTTATATAAGTTCTGACCAAAAAAAAAAAACTTTTATATAAGTTGAGCAATTATGCATAATCAATTACTTTTGGAAAAATCCAATTGCATCCTTTGGTATTCGAACCTCTACATCTCTTAGGCCTTTTAAAGCATGATCAATTCCTCCCATAGGCCTCCCATAGGCGGTAGAGAGAGGTTAGGGAAGATACTCGAGCACTTTCGTACAATGGTCTTTCTGCAATTGCACGACTTACAAAAGATTAGACACCAATAATGTAAAAACAAAATAAATAAAAGACGACTAGAATCTAACATTTGTAAAAGCGTAAGGCCATTGGATTTAGGATTGAGATCTTAATTTAGGATGGTAAATTTACATCTTAAATATCCCGATTTTACCGACGTAAATTCATCGCTCTAAATTCATAGTTTATACCCTTTCATTTTTTTTGGAGGTTTAAACGGGTTTTAGGAAAAGATGAGTCTAATCCCTCCGCGTGCTCCAGACAAAGAACTTCAGAGAGTCAACCACTATGAGTATACCTTCTTAAATTTAAAAATTCTCTGAAGAATACTTCATCATTTTGACAATGTTGATCCAAAGTTGACCCAATCAAAGAAAATGAAAGACATTTTAATACAAGAATTAAAGTCAAGAACTTCTTCTAGTTTTACCAGTTACAGCATTGACGAAGTGTGGAAAGCGAGACGTTGCGTGATTAGAAGTCTAGTTGTATTACGTTTGGGTGATGGGATTCTGACGATCGAGGAAGAAGCTCTCCTCATATCCACTTTATTTTGAATTTTCTTAAATTATTGTTTATGGAACTTGTTAAATAAGTTTACTAATAGAGTAAAAGTAAGGGGTTATTACCCCTTGGACTTTCTTTTTATTATAATCGTTAACCTCCATTTTTTTTTCCGTTCGCATGTGCAATACACATGACTACATACTAAGGATAAAAACATACTTTAATCTCGAAGTTTTCTTTGAAGGGAATCTCTTTTTTACAATTAACTACTGTAAAAAAAACAAAAAAAATGAAGAACATGAGAGAAAACTAGATTAACTTAAATACTAATAATAGAAAAATAAGTAGCAATAAAAAAATTAACCAATAAATTTGTTAAAATTTGATAAATCTAGACACTTTGATAAACCTTATTAAGATATTTTAAAAAAAGAACAAACATACACTAAGTAAAAAGGGAAAATGCCTCAATAATAAAAAGGTCAAATGAAAAAAAAATAGTTATTCCCTATGTACATTTAAAGGGTTAATTAAAGTAAAATTGATTGATTAATATATTATTTAAAAAAATAAAAAGGGAATGATGTCCTCAACTCATAAAAGGAAATAATCAACCAAAATTAAGGTGATATTCTTATACATTTTTAATTGATCAATCAATTTTCATCAATTTACCATTTAAGTGAAGAATAAGTGTCCATTTTTTTGTTATTTGACCTTATTGTTATTAATGCCTTTTTCTCTTTTCACTTAATCGTGTTTTTTTCTATTAAAATATTTTGTTAGTTCAAATTACACACCACTAATTTTATTATTTTGTATTGTTTAACATTATTATTGATATTTATTGTAAATGAGAGATTTCCTTCGGCAAAATAAAATGAATATACAGATTTAATTCTTACAAGTTATGTGCATTGTACATGCTAACAAAAAATTTAACAGAGGTTTAACAACTATAACAAAATCAAAGTCCGGAGACAATATGTAATAGTTGAAAATTTAGAGGCAAAAAATTAGTTTTGAGTAAATTTGTCACAGACGTACCGGTTTGAGGTTTTTTGTGGTCAAAAAATTAGTTTGGGATAAATTTGTCACATGTGTACCAATTTAGAGTTTTTCGTGGTATTAACCCTAGTTTTAACTTGGGAAATTTACAATGAACTTAGATAAAGTATAGATAACTTGTAGAAGAAAACTTAGTTTTCAGATTGAATTACCAAAATTTTAAAAAAAAAGAATTACTTCTTATAGTGAATGGAAACTAATTTTTTTAACTAAAACTTATCAACCACATGTGCAAGTTAGATGTCGTAATTTCGTACGTCAAAATATGCTTAGCAACTTTTTATTTACTCGTAAAGATACTTTATTAGTAAACTTCTTCCACACCCCTTCTGATAAAAACACCCATTATAAGGTAATTGACTAAAATACCATCGTAATATCACATTCTTGTCGGTCGCCTCTTTTTAACAGCGAAGGAAGTTTTTCAAGGATCCACGTTCGAAATCGAAACACCCTTAAATTCGACAGTGACTACACTTTTATGAATTCACGCAAATGGGTTTTGTGGGTTAGCTGACAGGGTTGCTACAATCAAATTACAGGTAAAATATTGTGGAAGCAAGTAACATGATTTTTGGTGACAAAATCAAGCCAATTTTCCTCATGGTGGTAAGTATTTAGGCCAAATGGAAAGGTCTTCGTCAAATTCAAGAGATGACTCCAGATATACGAACTGACAAAGGTAAAAGTGGAAGACAAACTTCATACTTCATTGGAAAAGTATATTAACCTTACTGAGAAGACAAAAAAAAAAAAAAAGATAGAGATGCAGCAAAAATTGAAGGTCGAGTATTTGGACAAATCTTGTGCCAAGAGAACATCTTTGCAATATCTTTATTAAAAACAATTTACCTAGTTGTTTGAGCCGCAATAGTAACCTAACGCCATCTCCTTGTGATACGTATCCCAATCAATCAATTGAAAAGGGATTGGCTTCCCTCGCCCCATGGTAAAGCCCCTCGTGCCGTCCGGCATTCTCGGGCCCTTTGACATCTGCTTCGACATAGCTTCAGACTGGAAGGTGATTGTGTTGCCTGCCTGCGGTGAAGGAGCAAGAACTCCGTGAGCATTGTAGGTTTGAGCGCGTCCCCTCGACTTTCCACGGCCCCTAGCCCATCCCTTTTTCGACCCTGCTGCATATTCTTCCGCCTGAGACGATGTGTCATGTATGTAAGTATCAAAAGATCAAAATCTTAATCAAAGACTTCACATATTTTGAAAAGATAGGCATGGGAAACATTTACTTTGATAGAAATTGTTAGAGTTAGGGGCTAATGACAGAAAATTTGGTAACTAACATACTGATGATCTGTTCGAGTGTAATCTGCTGATTTCAGTAGGAAGATAGCAATACTTACATTAGCCTCAAGAGAGAGTTCTGCGTCGCTTGGTTGCAAATCGTCTGTAGGATCAGAAAGTAGTCCCTCGTCTTCGTCTAGAATTGAATTGAAATCAAACTTTCTATTCTTCAAGACAGATTTTGGCTGCACAATCACGTACAATAATCAAGACATTTGGCAACCAATCATACAGGGTCTAGTATGTTTGTCAATGCTATATTGCAGAGGAGATACCGTGCGCCGAAGAAGTAATCTGACTCGAAGTCCTTTCCTCCAGTCCCTTTCGTCGTTTAACTTCTCAACCTGGTCAAGTATAATCGCCACTATTGTAACATTTGATTAAGGAATAAAGAGGATATACATTGCATTCACGAGTATGTTATGACATACCGCCATTTCCGCAGTCTCAATGCTGTCATATTCTATCAGAGCGTGAAGCTGTGTATCAATGGACACCCAATTACAAAGATGAGGTAAGTTATCTAGATATACAAGTAAATGGCATTGGTCAAGCCCATTCCAAGTACCTTGTTACGAATAAAGAGGTCGCCTTTGGGGCGGGAAGAATTCGATTCTTGGGGATGGCATATTCGAATGTTTTTAACACTGTCCAAGAACAACCGTACACAGTGAGATTTTTACATGATTTTAGCATAGATAGGAGCATAGCGATGATAAGTCGAGTTCTTACAAACCTTCCTGCTGCGCTGAATATCTTTTCTAGATTATGATAAGAGTGATCTTCAGGCAAATTCTCCACGACAACGGTGCGAGACTGTGAGATTGAGAGCATAAAATTTGCAATGAACAAATTGTTTTCATCATGTGCTATTCCATATTTTGGATATCATAAACAAACCTGCAATTCTTCTTTTTCCTTTTCAGTGAAAGGTAATCGACGTCTAACTCTCTTTCCATCACTGCTGACAGCCTTTTGGGGCATTAAGATCATCAAAAGGATCATTTACCAAATAGCAGGAAACCTTTTTCAAGTTTAGTAAATTTTGACGGAGAAATTCAACCAACTCGACTAATACAAATCTTACGAGATTTGGAGAGGACCGCAATGCTTGTGCGAGCAACTGATTGTTGATTACTAGGGATTTGATTTTCTTTGTTGAAGCAATTATTGATATTGAAACTGCAATATGTCACAAGTCACAATATGCCGAAATTAAAAGAATTGAATGTGAAGTAGAAATATTGAAAAAGATATTAAATCAAGTGATTATGTTGACGTCCTTACCATAACCTTCAGGATCTTTGCTTACATGTTTAGCAATGAAGTCATTGGAGAGCAAGCTCATGCTGCTAAACAGATATTCAACCTGTTTTTGTGCATAAAGAAACACTCTCAAGCTCAACTGAACTCGCCAGAATATTCTTGCCATATCATACGTGAGAGAGAATCAGCCATCTAAGAGGCAAACTTCTTTTCTTTAACACATTTAGACAAATTATTTCTTCTGGTTAATGAATACACACCATGGGAAAAACATAACATTTGAATTGGAGGCAGTAAATTCATTAATTCTTGCGAGAGAAAATTCATGACATAGACTCTCTCACATTTAATTGCAAAGACTGGTGTCATGGTAAGAGAAAGTCAGACTCGGAGAACAAACTACGGTACCAACAAACTCTCTCAACTTACAGCAATCTTATGCATATATCTCAAGACTGAAGAAAGGAAAAGAATTTGTAGTCGTGGATCTCATTAAGTGTATGTTTCAATTTGCTCTTTTCACGAGAGAAAGAAAATCAGATCGAACTTGGTGAATGACCAATAGAAATTTCACGAAAATGCAAGTATGGACAGTGCATATGTGTATTGGAAAGTATCTCAAGACTGAAAAAGGTAAAAGAATTCGTAGTCGTGGATCTCATTAAGCGTTATGTTTCAATTTGCTCTTTTTGCAAGATTTAGAAAATCAGATCGAACGTGGTGAATGACCAACAGAAATATCACGAAAATGCAAGTATGGAAAGAGCATATGTGTATTGGAAAGTTAAAGAAAACTAGAGTTTCCATAGGATAACATTAGCTAAACTTGTCCTACATCACTCTCTCTATGCATGTGCTTTTTCGTCATTGAATAGCTTTTCCCTCAGCAAACTACCCATTTAATTGTATGAACTTTTTGGCTAAACGAAAACTAAGGATCCAGAAGGCTTATCATCAGAAACAGACATCGCAAGGCAAAGCAAAAATCCTCACATTGGATAAACATTAGCAGCAAACAAAGCAAAAAACAATCAAAACCTGTTTGATGATTTTCTTTTGAAGGTCATCACTGAGACCATTCTTGGGACAATGAGAAGGCATCAAGTTGATGTTGGGAATGGAGTAATTGGATGGCTCTATCTGGTCCCCAAAGTAGAACCACTCAGATCCTGCACTAGACCCATTAAACAACTGAAAGCAGGGATAGTAATAGCCAGAGAGATTGGGCATCTGGGTGTGCGATCTGGGCACGAACTCGGCCGCTTGAGCATTGAATTTGAATTTGAAGGGCACATCGCTGCTGTGGCTCTCTCTCGTCACCATTTTCGTGCTATCGCCGTCTCTCTCATGCGCTTCTGCTTGCGACATTCTTTTTTTCATCTGTGCGTCTCTATTCGAGATGTCTTCCCTTTAGTTTCCGGCTTCTTCTCTCTGAGATCTCCCTCTCTCTTGTTCTTTCTCTCTCTCTAGTAGAAGTGACCATGTGTGATGTTGAACCCACCTTTGGCGCGCGGGTACGGACATCTTTCTCTCCGACGAGATAGAGAGAAGAAGAGGACCGTCTTATTACACTTAGCCGCTGGTGGCGGAGTTTTGACCAGATTTTTAAGGATCGGAATTACTAAATACGGGAGTTTTAAAGTTCTTCACTACCACAAGTTATTTAGCTCAATCAATGAAAAGTTGACGGAATCAGTTGCTTACTTACGTGACATTAATTATCTTTTTCATAAGTTTCACACTTGATTTTTTTTTTTAATTCATGGTTGTTATATACTCAAGAGTTGAGATAAATGCAATACAAATTTTGCACATAAATGGATCAAAACGGGGTAAATGGTCATTTTGGGTCGGACTATTTTCGACCCGACCCAAATCCAACCCAAACTCGATCCCGCCAATTTGTTTGACAGATCTAGTTTAACATAATAAAACAAATACAAAGCCGTATTAAAAAATTGAGTCCAATGCACGTGACATCGTTCGACGTAGTGCAAAAAATTATTAGATGCCCTATCTAATAGTTGGTCCAATTACACAAAATGATATTGACTCTCTTTCTTCTCTCAATCAATTTAGCGAACGACCAAGTTTTGTTTTCCTTAAAAGACACGGATAAAATAACATCTTTATTATTTCAATTAGAATAAAAACGGATTTTAGTGAGTAGATTTTTTTTTTATCTGTCTTATCTCTAACTCTCCTCACTCTCTAATTTTGCTCTGCCTCTTGTAGAGTGAGGGAGTTGAACCCCGTACCTATGATATTAGCGTCCCCAACCCCCCCCCCCCCCCCCTCCCCCTCCCCCTCAATCCCTTTACTAACAGGGCCACATGCCTATTCGCTTAGTGAGTAGACCTTACAATGTAAGAAAATGTGCTACATATTTCTCTTTCTTCTTGAGCTCCAACTCAGCGAGCTCTAGATATCGCAGCCACGGTGGCCAAAAGGTTGAGATCTGTGAGCTTTAGGTCTCATGGCCATGGCAATAGTGAGCCTTGATCTCGAGTTTGCGCAACAATGGGCTCGAGCTTGAGTGATGGATATTTCAAATTTGACAAAGGCGGCTACGAACTCAAGCAGCCATAGAGGTCAAGAGTTCTCAAGCTCAGGACCTTTTTTTTTGGTCGAACTCAAGCTCAGGACTTAGCGAGCTCCAAATTTGGCATAGCAGTTGTGAGCTTAAAACTCCAGCATCCACGGGCACAAGCTTGAGATTTTATGAGCTCCAAATATGGCCATGCTGGCTACAAGCTCCAAGTTTGAGCGGACAGTAGACTTGTCAAACGAGTGGATCGAGTCGAGTTTGGGTCAGGTCATAATTGTCCGACTCAAATTGACCCATCGACCCGTTTATGACTCATTTATCCATGATGTAAATTTCTTGACCCATACCCATCACATACCCAACCCTTATTACAAACACACTTCCATATTTAACCTAATCTAGGAAAACTTGTTTCTTATGATTTTTTAAAAAATTGAGGCTCCGCTTGTATCGCGGAAATGTTACATTTCTGGATAATATTTTCTAGGAAGTTTTTTTCCAAAAAAATTATAATATTTTTCAATGTTTGGCTTAAACCTAAAAATGAACTAGAAAATTTTTTCCGTCGTTTGGTATGAAAAATATGATTTGAATTTTCTCCATGCGCTCCTTTTAAATATTTTACTTTATTCTTTCATTTTTTAAAAATCGAATTTTTAATCATTTTTCTTGTTTTCTCTTTTCTATTTTTCTTTTCTTTCTTTTTCCTTTTCCGTCTTCGGCCAATCGCCGGCCACAGCGACAGTTGGTGACTGGCCACAGGCAAGGGATGAACTCGCCAATCTGGCAAGACTCAAGCTCACTAGCCTCAGGCAAGCTCAAGCTCGCCAACCTCTAACTCTGGCGAGGGTTAAGGCTAGCTGAGGCTGGCGAAGCCTCGGCCTCGCCAGATCAGCGAGCTCGAGCTTAGCTGTGAGGAAGAAAGATAAGGAAAAAGAACAAAAAGAAAAAAAAAAGAAAAAAAGAAAAAGAGAAAAAATAAAATAAAATAAAATAAAATAATCAGAAAATTTAAAAAAATCAAAATAAAAAACACAAAAATTAATATAAACAACTTGTTAATGATTCACTTAAGTTTGTTAAGTAACCCATTTATGACCTATTTAAGCTTGTTTTTAAAATTTAACATAACTCATTTATGACCGACACCATTAAATATTAGTTAAAATATGGGGTCAAGACCCATTTTGCCACCTCTAGCAGGTGGGATAGTGGCCTCAAGAGATGAGCAATCTAGATCAACATATATGTAGAGAGAGAAGATATGTGTGCTCCGACGTCCATATCTGCAACGAGAAAGAGTATAATAGAAGGACTAAAGTGGAACATTTCAAAAAGTGGAGGAACCGTTCTAAATAAAAAAAAATGTACAGAGATTTTGATTTATGGGCAAAAATATAGAGGTTCATAATGACATTGCATTTGGTTTGGCTTTGAGGGAATGCCTTTGGAAAAATACCAAGGCCATTGGACTAAAGGGTTTTCCTAAATGCAAATTGTGTTTGGTAATATGTATTTTAAAAGCAGATTGGGATGCAACTTTGACCTAAATGCCTTTTGGTAAAAACTGTATTTTGTAAAGAGCTTTTGCTATATTTTTTTTTAAAAGAAATACTCTCCAAAGGCAGATTCAGCCACCGGCAGGCCAAAATGGCCACCGACGATTGGTCATCGACCAGATCTGTGACATCCTGAAATTTGCCTATTTTGGATTTATGAAATGAGTGGTTTTATGAACGTACTTGTAGCTAGGTCTCGCTCGAAATTGACCATTCCTGGGATACTAACCGTTAGGGAAGGGCTAATTAGGGATTTAAAATTTGTGCGACTAAAGAAATTCGGTCGTGAACTGACTTTCGACCATAGAATCGACGAGGTGACATTTTGAGCCAATGTAGGCCGATTTTAGGATAGTTATGGGCCAATTCGTCATTGTCATACGAGTGGATCACGATTGATTCCGTTTGACCACGAGGTGAGTTGACGAACGATCCAGAACCTATACCGAACGATCGCGCCCGTTGGAACTAGCGATCGATCCTCGCGATTACATTGACAACCGAGGTCGTCACGATCCGAACGAACTTGCACGTGACTTGATTTAGTATCAGTCACGGGTCGAATATGCGAATTTCCCCAAAAGCCGCCCGTTAGTTCGAGACACGCTCAAGTTACGTTATTTAAAATTCAGTTATTAAATTAGAGACCCATTTGGGCATGGAAAATTTAGGAAGTCATGACAGGACATTTGGACGACGTTGTTATTAGCATGTTCAGTCTTGGATTGTCTCGATTCCTTCAGAAAAATTCGATTTCGGTGTGAAATGAGGAAGTGACCATTTTGCCCCTAAGGCTTTTTAAAAGGGTTAGTTTTATGAGGCAAGGGCGTTTTGGTCATTTTGCTCCCAAAGTTGGAAAAGACACAATACCCTCGGATATTTTAAAGTAAGATTCGATCCGGGCCATTGATTTCAAGATTAGATCGAATCTCGACCATTGGATTAAAAAGGTTAGAGAGGGGCATTTTGGTCATTTTTGCATTTGGGTCAAAACTTGGTCACCAAGATTGACCAAGCCTTATCTCTCTCTCTCTCTCTCTTCTCTTCCCCCATTCGCCCCCTCACCCACCGAGACCCCCCCCCTCCGATCACACTCTCCCTCCCCTCGCTGCGCCGCCGCACGCCGGTCACCGCCCGACCGGATCGCCACCGCTCGCCACCGCCGCTTGCCGTCGCCACCGCCGAGCCGTGCCGCCGCGCCGATCGCCGCCCCGTTCCACTCTAGCCGAGTTAGTCTAGAGTCCGGTAAGTCGCAATCTAACCCTTGCCTAGGACATCGGGTATTATCGGACTCATTTAGACGCGGTTTACGGTAGTTTAGGGGTTGATTAGGGTGTTGATCGTGATTGTTGGTGGCTGATCATGGCTGTTAGTGGCTATTGCGTGTTGGATTAGACATTTGGGAATGAGTTTTGTGGGTTGGAGATCCATGGGTGTGAGCTAGAACTTGAATCTTGGTTGTTTTGGGTGATTCTCGGATTCGTGACTACTGTATCCGTCCGGTTTGCTATTTTTTTGGAGAATTTTGTGGGCCGAATTTGAGGAAGTTTTCTTCATGAAAGTTTCTCCTAACATCTTGAAGTATGACATAATTTAATTTTATAATTTTTGGAAATCATTAGAGGCCATTCAGAAGTCCATCTTTGGACCGAAATTAGTGTGCCGGAAATACTGTTCCTCCGACCTCCGGGTCTGTTCGAATTTTTATAAATTTTTCCAGACCCATTTTCAAAATAATTCCTTTACAAAACTTGTTGGGGACATTTGTGACTATGACATATAAAAATTTCAAGGCTTTCCAAGGTGATTTGGGTACTGGATGAGATGCATTTTTATGGTCAGGCGGCCTGACCGGACGGGTTGATTTTCGTCTGACTTCAAGTGACCAAAAGAGGGGTTTACAGTTGGAACTGGGTTTCGAGTTCTTCATGGAAAATGTTTATCAAGATGTTTTACGCAACATATCCAAATTTCAGAATTTTTGGAGTTCGTTTACTATTTATTTGAATGGGATTTCGGTCACTGTGTAAACTGCCCAATTTTACTCCGATTCTTTGAATGTTCGTTTTTATGAGCGGAATGGTGGGGGTGTCGAGGTTGAATAGTTGCTGCCCTTGTGACGGGAATTGATCCTGAATGTGTGTTTGTATGTGGATGGTGTGTTTGTAAAGTGGTTGTAGTTGTTGGTTGATTTCTGAATGATTGTTGGGCTGAATATTGAGTGGCCGTGTGCCCTGTGTGTATGGCCGTGAGTTGTGTGGTATGATTGCGAAATGAGCTCACGTGTCAAGCATGTGTGATTGTGTGGTGTTTGTGTGGCAAGGTTGTGCATTTGCGAAGTGAGTGTGAGGCGTGAGATTGTGTGTGGCCGTGTGTACGTGTGGCCGTGTGATACGTGTGAAATGAGTGGAACGAAGGTACGGAAATATAGAATTGGTTGGAAAAGTGATACTCTGAGGCGTGTTCGTTTACGCGGGGTA